TCTCTCTCTCTCTCTCTCTCTCTCTCTCTCTCTCTCTCTCTCTCTCTAACATGATTACAAAAGTGCAAAGCAGAAGGTTCCTATTGTATTAGATCTGCAAAGATGAATTAATTATGAAATAACTTTAAGGAATAAATGTCAAAGACTCTAATCTAATAAGTTGCTAGTTATCGTAGGCCTGTAGTTATTAGTACAAAATACAAACCTTAATTGTTCCTTGACTGTTTGCAGCAATTAGGACATTTGACTCCTGAAAAACAAATCATCATTCATAAAACATGTGTAAGTTGCACAAGAATAATTCATCACTTACAGGACAATATACATTAAAACAACATATGTATATAATCATATTCATAGCTCAAACATGTTTTCCTCTTGACAAGAGGAAGAGCAGCCAGCTGTGATGAGCCCGTGTGTGTGTGATCTTCCTGAAATGAACGGTGGGATAATGAGATGAACTCACTCCGTCGGGCAGCGCTCTCCAGCAGACAGCGCTGACAAACTCGTTGGTGTCGTCTTCCTTCTTGTCTTTGTCCAGGACACTCTTCACCGTGTCGAACTTGAATGTTAACAGCGTCTTTGACAGCCCTTTGTAGTAGAGGTACAGGGAGTTGTTTTCACTGCCTGTACACACACAGTAAGAAAAAAGGGGATGTTTTTACTCACATGTTGTCCTAGAATGCTTGAAATATCAAGGCAATGCTTTGTTTTTAAATCAATGCTCACCACAGGCAACATAGTCTCCATTGGAAGCCAGGCCCACAAAGTTCTTCTCATTGATGTGACCCTTGAAGGAGCGCAGGCAGTGAGGTTTGTTGACGTTCCACAGCTTCAGCTGACTGTCCGTGGACCTGTCCAACAAAGGTGGAAACACACTCAACCAGTCACTAATCTGAGGGAGAAGACTAGTAATCGTCAACCTGTAAATCTGAGCATCTTTTAAAGTGTTTCATTGTGGGTATTTTTGTCAACACAGCGTAAAGCATTTGGTATAGGGACTACATCATAAGTAGGGACGGGTATCGTTAGGGTTGTATTGATACTAGTATTCAGTGATTCTGATGGTCGGTTCGGTTCCTTAAAGATACTCTTATCGGTTCGTTTTGATTATTTTGTGAGACAGAAAGACAATTAATTAAGAAAAGTATTGACTTTGTTTTGTTATTCTTGTATGTAAAGAAATAGTCTTTCTTGAGTTCTAACATCTTTAAAATACGTTGTCAGCCAAGTGATTATCTTTCATTGATGATCCTGTTCTTGTGATCAAATTCCGTGTGACATCACTAACGTATGACATCACTACCGTCACCTGACGGCTGCTCCACAAACAGACAGATGTTCTGCTTGTTGGTCACATTTTATTGTGTTTGAGACGACCAGAGTTCTAGTGTTTTCATCTCTCTGATCATGATGGGAGTCTCACGCTGTACTGAGCCGGAGACAAAGACAAAGAGACAGAGAACCGACAGCAGAACCGCTAACTCTGGACCGCATCGATACTCCGGGTTTTACTTATTTAGAACCGGTTCCTGTTTAGAACTGGGTTTCGGGGGGGGCATCCCTAATTATAAGCAGACAATATTTAGTCTATATAGATTGTGTAATAACTTGTGTAATAACTTGTGTATGTATATAGAAGAATATCATCAGCTGAACATGAGGGTGAAGGGACTTACGCAGAAACTATTTCCTCTCCATTGACAAACTTGGCGTAGGACACGGCCTTCCTGTGGCCCTTAAACACCATGATGGGCTGCTTCGTGTTGCGTAGATCATAGTAGTGGACACAGTGGTCTGCGAGCAAAAAGGAAACAGAAAAATAATATAGGTATGCATTCATTCAGTGTCGATCCCATCGAGTCACCACCAAGCCAGGCCGCCATGGTGCAATGACGGTGCAATGCCTTGGTTGAGTGAACGCTACACGTGCCTGCTGGCTGTTATTCCAACATCCAAACTTCACTACAGACAGTAAACCAACAACTTCAACGTCTTCTGTGCTCAAGCTCGGTGGACTTGGACCTTGGAGACACAGGATTGGATCAGGACTTGGATAGTTGTACAAGAGAATATTTCAAATACTCATCTCTCCCTCGAGAGAGTAACAAAATGAAGTTCTGAGAAGTTTGTCTGGACCACCGGAGTCTACGAAACCACAAAATAAATGTTGTCGTGTACGAGGACAAACTGCAGTGGTGTGAGGCGAGTGTAACGATACATCACGATGAGAAGAAAAACAAGTTTCTTTGCCTGGGGTTTATTCTCAACCCCCCCCCCCCCCCCCGACTTCTAACATCCGAAATAAATGAACTGATTGGAAGGCCTGAGTCTATGGAGGCCCATTTCTGTCAATGTGATGAACAAAAGAATAATGACTTATGAATGTTTCTAAATCATTATTTTGAGAACAGATATTATTCTGAAAGAATTTATGAAAAAAATGATATACAGTGCATCCGGAAAGTATTCACAGCGCTTCACTTTTTCCACATTTTGTTATGTTACAGCCTTATTCCAAAATGGATTAAATTCATTATTTTCCTCAACATTCTATACACATCAACCCATAATGACAAAGTGAAAACTGTTTTTTGAAAATTTTTGCAAATCTATTAAAAATAAAGAACGAAAACATAACATGTACTTAAGTATTCACAGCCTTTGCTCAATACTTTGTTGAAGCACCTTTGGCAGCAATTACAGCCTCAAGTCTTCTTGGGTATGATTCCACAAGCTTGGCACACCTATTTCTGGGCAGTTTCTCCCATTCTTCTTTGCAGAACCTCTCAAGTTCCATCAGGTTGGATGGGGAGCGTCAGTGCACAGCCATTTTCAGATCTCTCCAGAGATGTTCAATCGGGTTCAAGTCAGGGCTCTGGCTGGGCCACTCAAGGACATTCACAGAGTTGTCCCGAAGCCACTCCTTTGTTATCTTGGCTGTGTGCTTCGGGTCGTTGTCTTGTTGGAAGATGAACCGTCACCCAGTCTGAGGTCCAGAGCGCTCTGGAGCATGTTTTCATCGAGGATGTCTCTGTACATTGCTGCATTCATCTTTCCCTCAATCCTGACTAGTCTCCCAGTTCCTCCCGCTGAAAAACATCCCCACAGCATGATGCTGCCACCACCATGCTTCACTGTAGGGATGGTATTGGCCAGGTGATGAGCAGTGCCTGGTTTCCTCCAGACATGACGCTTGTCATTCAGGCCAATCTTTGGCCTGAATGCCAAAGAGTTCAATCTTTATTTCATCAGACCAGAGAATTTTGTTTCTCATGGTCTGAGAGTCCTTCAGGTGCCTTTTTGCAAACTCCAGGCGGGCTGTCATGTGCTTTTACTGAGGAGTGGCCTCCGTCTGGCCACTCTACCAAACAGGCCTGATTTGTGGAGTGCTGCAGAGATGGTTGTCCTTCTGGAAGGTTCTCCTCTCTTCATAGAACAACACTGGAGCTCTGTCAGAGTGACCATCGGGTTCCTGGTCACCTCCCTGACTAAGGCCCTTCTCCCCCGATCGCTCAGTCTGGCTGGGCGGCCAACTCTAGGAAGAGTCCTGGTGGTTCCAAACTTCTTCCATTTCCGGATGATGGAGGCCACTGTGCTCATTGGGACTTTCAATGCTGCAGAAATTCTTTCTGTACCCTTCGCCAGATCTGTGCCTCGATACAATTCTGTCTCGGAGGTCTACAGATAATTCCTTGGACTTCATGGCTTGGTTTATGCTCTGATATGCACTGTCAACTGTGGTACCTTATATAGACAGGTGTGTGCCTTTCTAAATCATGTCCAATCAATTGAATTTAGCACAAGTGGACTCCAATCAAGTTGTAGAAACATCTCAAGGATGATCAGTGGAAACAGGATGCACCTGAGCTAAATTTTGAGTGTCATGGCAAAGGCTGTGAATACTTATGTACATGTTATGTTTTCGTTCTTTATTTTTAATAGATTTGCAAAAATTTGCAAAAAACAGTTTTCACTTTGTCATTATGGGTTGATGTGTATAGAATGTTGAGGAAAATAATGAATTTAATCCATTTTGGAATAAGGCTGTAACATAACAAAATGTGGAAAAAGTGAAGCGCTGTGAATACTTTCTGGATGCACTGTAGTATCAAAAAAAACGGGATTGTCTCGTTATTTTGAGATACTCATTGTTTTGAGAAAGTTTCTCAGTATTTGAGATACTATGTCATTATTTGAGATATATTATTACTATGAGAACGTTTGTCCTTATTGTTAGATGCTAAGTCATTGCTTTATTTTACTGGTGGAAATGGTCAGATCCTATACTGTGACCTGCTTATACACCAAGTATGCTGCAGGGTTTTAAAGCATGTTCTTAAAGAAATCCATAAGTGGCCACAATGTAAAGGCAGTATGCTCAATTTTTTATGCAGAGAACAATAAATCCGATCAATACAACTAGTTGGAACTGCCCCCGCACACCCTCGCCACGGTTGACTCTCGCTTTTCTTTTTCTTTTCTTTTGCCTCTGCAAACATTTCGGTGAGGCTGCTCTTTGTGGATGGAGTCGGTACAGACTTGCATATTTTGATGGATGGTGATTTTTAGGATGGTAGTGGAGATTTGCGGTGTTTCCATAATTAGTCCCGACTCGTCTATCGCACAGCTTACAGATGACTTAGTTCGCGTTCTCTCTTCTCTCCTTTTGTTGTAAACCACAGAATCGATAGATGCATTTGCATTGTTTTAGTTAGGGCATCAAAAATTCATTCATAATGTTAACCTTTAAATTATTATTATTATATATAACTTACAGAAACATTGCGTGCAATAGTCCAAAGGCTTTCATCGTATTGGACCAGATAAAGTCATTCGACACAGCCCTACGCACAGCGTCACACGTATGCTAGCATATCAATACAACAATGCGGTGAAGCATAGAGTAAGCAAGAGAAATAAAGAGAGAGACTGAATATTGTGCACACTTCCTAACAGGCGTTAGGAAGGCGTTAGGAATTGAATATTGTTCTGTTGTTGTGGACATGGGAGGAATATTACAGTGGTACCTGTTGAATGATAAATAGTCATATTGCACAAGCCTAGTTTCCATCTCTACCCACAGTAAGTTCACAGGACAAAGATCACAACCTAAAAGCAGGCCTGAGCTCACCTGCACAGCCAAAGGCCAGATGATACCTGGAGGTTGGGCTGAACTTCACACAGCAGACGTTGGCCTTGGCCTCAATGCTGGCCACAGAGTTATCGAGATTGGTCGACCAAAGCTTCACTGAAACACAATAAACAGACATTAACATTTCTCTGCGCTGAGAAGAGGAATGATGACTGAAGCCTGTCAGACACAGCATTACTGGTCCTCCGTTACCTTTCGCATCATCAGAACCGGAGGCTAACAGCTTGGGGTCCATTAGATTGAAGTCAACACTCCAACACCTTTTTTCATGTTCCTGAAAGGAAAGCACAAGGAACCTTAAAAAAGGTGCAGTGTTTCCTCTACATCAACTCTACAAAGTCACAAGGTTGCAGTGTTCATTTATTGCCATTGTACAACAGGGTTGCACAACAAAATGCAGTTTGTAGGCCCAGAATGCTGCAAGAAAAAACACATACACAAAAAAAACTATATTACACAGTGGAGGGTGGAGGATGAATTTAGGAATCTTACAGCCAGAGGAAAGAAGATGCTCTGAAGTGTGGTGGTTCCACAGCTGATACGTCTGCATGGGTTTTGTCTTTGAATATCCTGGAAACCGATGATGTTCTGGGTGATTTCAATCACACGCTGTAGAGCCCTCCTGTCCTGCTCACAACAGAGTTCTCTTCATGTTTGGGGCAGCAGTCGTGGGTCTACAGCGTGAACAGGAGGGGGCTGAGCACACAGCCCTGGGGGGGCTCCGGAGTTTAGCACTAGAGGAGTTGCTGGGGTCTGTTTGTGAGGAAGTCTTAAAACCAGAGTGATACGTTTACCAATCAGTAATGCAAACGGGTGAGGTTCCAGGCTGGATGTTGTTTTTAATATGCTGGAGAACCAGTTCCTCAAAGCACTTCATCAGGATGGGGCTGAGTGTCACAGGGCGATAGTCATTTAGACTGGACACTGCAGACGTTTTAGGTACAGGGATGATGGCGGCTGTCTTGACGCAGGTGGGAACTCTCTCCTGTGACAGTGATGTGTGGAAAATATCAGTGATGACATCAGTTAGCTGGTTGGTACATGTTCATAGTACAGGACCAGGGATGTTAACAGGTCCAGCAGCTTTACTCATATTCACTCTCATCAGGGTTTTCCTCACATCCTCTGAGGACACTGACAGTGGGCGGTCCTCTGGAGGCGGGGCAGACTTGACAGCTGACTCTTTGTTGAGGAGGTCAAAGCGAGTATAAAAGGTGTTCAGCTCATCTGGTAATGTGGCCTCACAAATGATGGGAGCACTCCTGCTTTTGTAGCCTGTGACATTCTGGATCTCCTGTCTCATATCTTTAGTGCTGTTGAGGTCTCTCTCCAGTCTCTCTTCATGCCTCCTCTTTGCCTCCTTGATGCCTTCAGTCTTGCTGTGGTGATGCTGCATGCTTCCTAACAGCTTTTTTGGATCGTGCCCTCACGTGTTCAATTATCCAGACTTTCTGGTTGGGGAAGGATTTTATTGTCTTTGTGATCACCATGTCATCACCACATTTGATGTCACTGTTGATGTTCGTATACTCCTCAAGATCGATGCCAAATTTTCACAAAATCACGAATATCCTCTGCTCTCATATTTCAACGGGAGCAACAGGTGAACCAGCTTAAAAAGTGACATTTGTTTCTTTTTAAATAAGTGTTAAGGTTGAGTTCAGCCCACTGAAGTGTTGGTCTCCTCCAAAAAGTGAGAGTGTCTCCTCCAGCAAGAATCTATGGAAGAGGGGCTCTTATTTTCTACCTATTTCTTATTTTATGGGCCATAAACATTTAAACCCAGCTAGACTTGTCTAAGTAGGCTAACTGCATGTTAGAGACACAGCCTTGTAGGATAGACAATGTCATACATGCTACAACGACTTCTATCACCAGCAGCTCAGCTGTGTGAACCTCCTAAGTGTCATACCTGGTAGACTTTGGACCTCTGGCCGGTGAATCCATCCCACAGGATGACGGTACCCTCGTAATCACTGCTGGCCAGAAGGTTCTTGTGGTAGCTGCTCCAGCTGATACAGCTACAACAAACAAGGTGGGGATCACGTCAAGACTCAAGGTCACAATTTGTTCCTAATAGTTGCTTCATTGGCTCTTTGTCTCGACTCAGGCCTTGGTTTCTAGAATGATTTTGACAAAGTATGTTTTTACAAATCTGATGCACAGGTTTGATGTTTATGGGCCTGCACAACATGACAACGCATGGCCCAGCAAAGCAGAAATGTGGGGACAAAAGTAGATTTGATTTTCTAAGTGAAGACAGCAGCGCTGTAGGGGTCAGCACATTCTACCTGCATGACCATCTACGCTAAATGTGTGTAGAAACAGGTTCTCACATGGATCACAAGCAGATCAGAAGCAGCCTTAACACTCGCATTGACTCCCCTACCTGATTTTGGAATTGCAGGTCATTTCATTGACAGGGTAGTGGATGTCCACCGCATCCTGGATCACTGTGCCGTACTCAAACACCTTGATCTTCTTGGTCACACCAGCGATGGCGAAGTAGTCACAGTCGCGGTCAAACTCAATACTGGAACACAGGTGAGAATGCAGTCATTGACAGTGAGAGGGCTGATTAAGGTCATACTGAAAATCATTGAACAAAATGTTCAGAAGTCAATGTTTTCCTTTTCCTACCTGGAGACAATACTGGAGCCGTTGTAGAGGTCACTGGCGTACGAGAGGGTGGCGAGCGGCCGCACAGAGTTGTAGCGGGTAAACTTAGACAGACACTCCATGAAATCATCCAACTGGTTCAGGTTCCTGCCTTCATCTGGACACAGTAGACGCACACTATTAAGATACTGTTCACAAGGAGCAATGGGGACACGAGCTGTACGCTGTGTGTAGAGTAGAGAAGCCCATCGACGATCGGCATCAAAAAGCAGATCGTCGATGTGTCCTATCGGCCGATACAGAGAGGTTTTTATTGTTGTTGTCTTTTGTTACAGCAGCTGGTGAAGGAGGCTCCAGATGACGGCTCAAAGTATTTATTTCAACCGAACCAAAATCGGCATGAACAGTTAAAATTCTACACGTTATCCCTTTTCTTTGTTATTGTTATCGAGAGTGGTTATTTGATTAAAAACGCACAATTCAAATGATTGTTTCAAAAGTTGCTTTGCTTAAAAAAAGAAAGAAATCTTGGCCTTTGTAGTTTTAATGTGTTATAAGCTGCTTGTAGCTAGTGTTAGGAAGTTTAACTCTCTCTTATATCTATTTTATATTAATGTGAAAACAACTGGATTCATTCAAGTTTCTTGCCAAAAACAACATTTTAAAATAAATACATCATGAAAGCATCAGAATGTCTGTTTGAATGCTTGAATGAATCGTACTGTAACTCACTGCAGCCTCCGTTAACGTTAGTCGTTAGCTCTATTATTTAGCCACTGTGCTGCCCAGCGGCCTGGTTTTGTTCATCAGCTCTGGGCCGGTGAACGAGGCGGGACGACACTGCATGCATGTCATGAGTGTCTAACCACAGGTGTGTAAAACAGGGAAATGTAACCATACTGAAGCAGCTCCGTGTCACATTTTAACAGCAATACATTATCATCACAGGAATATAATAAACAAAAACAAGGAGCATTTTGTGCATGTCAGGTTTCTGCTTTGTGCCGTGCAGCACATGTGTCATTCTTCCTTTGCTGACAGCCAAGACTGTTCATCAGAAACAACCCACTCTGTGACAGCAAGCGGCGGAGTTTGTGGCAAATGTGGTCTTCATTTAAAAAAATAGTAACTTCAGCAATAACACTGGGGTGAGGCAAACAGGTCAACCCTTTGAAGTGAACATCCAGTCCCACAGAAACACATCTGCCATCTACAGGTGCTGTGAGGGAGTGATGCTGCCATTCACTGAGGGATTGCTACCTGTGATGCGTGACATTTTGTTGGAGAAGTAGCACTGCTCCAGATCCTCAAAATGAGCCGTCAGCCTCTTTCTCCTGGATGCCAAGGTGCTGTTGTACCAGGTCTGTCTTTTGCCCTGGAGAAACAGAGAGTAGTCAAGTCAGTGCTGAACTTACTCCGTTAACGCTCACTCATAGTTTTACTGAGAATGTTTTGCTCGACAGGTCTTTAGGTTCATATCCATTGTGACCACTACAGTACGTGTCAAAGCTTCTGAGAGCTTGTGGACATTTAATAACTATGGAACTTTTTCTAATATTCCTTTGGAAGCAAAACCATGGAATTCATCTATATTATAAAAAATGCGCTGATGAAAAATATGCAAACAAAACAGATAATAGACGTAAACATTAAAGAAATGGATAATCCAACCAGCATGTCTGTTACCTGGGTTGTTCCACCAAATCCTGGAGGCTGGCTGTAGTCTGGTGTCTCCATGATACTACTGCAGCTACTCAACGAGCAGACAACAAACAGACAATGAGTCAGAGGACGGCAGCCATAACATCCTGACTAGAGGTTAACAAAGTAGTTCCTTCTCATTCTACCTAGATCTAGACCATTATGATCTGGTCCTACTCTTCCCCGATCTGGTCCTATTCTACTCAGAACCGTCCTTTTTTACCCAGACCCGGTACTCGTCTACTCAGATCCGGTACTAGTCTACTCAGATCCGGTCCTATTCTATCTAGATCTGGTACCATTATATATATACCATATAGCAGTTTAATCAGTAAAGCCTGTGTGTGTTTGTATCAGAGAAGCTGAATGTGGTTGGTTGTGATGACTCGTAGATAGGTCATGTTAAAAACATGGAGGTCAGCTGTACCTGGGAGCAGGTGAGGGAGCCTCAACATTGGGCACCGTACACTCGGCCTCCATCATGGGACAGTACAGCCCGCTCATCTCCTGCAACATGACATAGAGAGAACATTTCACGTGTGCTGCTTCTCCACCTTTCCATTTAAACATGCCGTAAATGACGGTTCTGTTGTTTTACCTCAACACGCTTAATGTCTTCTTCAAGAAAGCTGAGCTCTTTCTGCAGTTGCTCCAGTTGCTGTTGACGGAGCCAGAAATAGAGATGAATATATCTTTCTATACAGTAGTACAGTTATAATAAGGTTATTAAACACATCGGGACCTCTCTCTTGTTCCTCCTGGCTTCTTTAAGGAACTCCATGAGGATCTGTCTCTGAGCTGCTTGGGATTCCTAGTGGAGACACACGAGACAAGTTCATTTTCACACAAAGAATTGTACCATTTCTTTTAGGTAACAAAACTTTTCCTGGAATAAAATGTTCTAGTGCTGTTTCCATCCCTGGCATTGCAAACTGAAGCGCCGTTGTGCAGAAAAGGAATGATGAAAACGAGGCACAGATTATGAGGAGCGAGTATGCTATTCACTTCAACTACAGGAAACCATCCCAGACCAGAGGGGTTGTTGGAAGACGCTCTTTGACAACTGCAGCCACAAGTTTCTCGTGCTTCGCATTTCTGGCATTACAAAACGAACCGAGGGCACCATGTCCTGCATGTTTCTTCATGCAGTCTAAACTAATAAAAACACCAGAGAAGGTAGGGTAACACATCCACTGCACATATTTGTATCAGGATTTCATTGAAAGGCAACAAAACAGACGCAGACAGACCCTCAAGCAACAGCATGAACGCTAACCTGCCTCTTCACGGACACCACAAAGCTAAAGTTCTTGACAAATCTGGTTCAGATACTGCAAAAGCTCCAATCGTTCATTTAATTTGCCTGCAGCACACTTGGTATGAAGTAGAGCTGCAACGATTAATCCATTAGGTGTCAACTATTAAATTAATCGTCATCTACTTCGATTATCAATTAATCTGTTTGAGTAATTTTGGAAGATAAACACGGTCAACGTTCTCTGAGTCCAGCGTCTTAAATATGAATATTTTCTGGTTGTGTTGCTCCTTGATGACGGTAAACTGAATATCTGTTAGTCGCGGACAAAACAAGACATTTGACGACGTCATCTTGGGCTTTGGGAAACACAGATCGACATTTTTCACCATTTTATAGACCAAACAACAAATCGATTAAATCGAGAAAATATTGGACAAATGAATCAACAATGAGAATTATCGTTGGTAGCAGCCTAGTGCCAAGACTACAATTCAATGTGTAAATACTGTGATCGATGTCCCTGGCTACACATTGGCTGAAAAAAGGTCTCATACAAAGCTTTACTGTTAAAGCATAGCTGTGTCACTGAACTAGCCAACTATCACTGAACACATGTGTGTGGATGCCACAACAAAAACATCCACAGCCTCACTGCTACTGGACTACCTGTCAAGAAAACTAACACAGCGCAACAGCGTTTCATGTGACAGCTGCACCTAAATGTCTCCGTTTTAAAACATGATGCCTGCTGTCACTTCTACAGTGAGTGCTGCTGTGACAGGACAGAAGTCAACAGGATAGGCTGTGGCTCCTACTTCTCTTTTCCTGGAACTTCACACGGATTGTCAAGACGAGAACCAACGGGGATGTTCCAGGCCACGCTGAGATAGCAATGTGTGCCGGGTTTTACTGCATTTACTCAGCAAGAGAACACACACACACACACACACACACACACACACACACGATTCCATATGACTCTTTAAGCACAGCCTAAAGCATCTCCTTGCAGACATATAATGTGGTTCAACTAGTGGAGAATGGGAGTGCTCACCACATACACAGGCAGAGCGACGGTGATGATTGGAATCACGACTTGAAAGGGAGAATTTCTGATCGTTTCTGAGGAACTACTACACCACCTTTTCTGACAGTTTATAAAACAGTTAAGATGCAACTTTGATTTTTATGAAATTCCTTTGTGGTCCTTCCAGGGCAAAATGTGGAGCTTCTCAAACTTCTGCTTTTTTAATTTTTTTATTTGTCTTCTATATGATTGAATATGTTCTCATTTCTTATTGTCAACATAAATGGTTATGGTCCCTGAATGCAACAGACCTAATACACGTTATCTTGTTTACGTGCTACGCTAGGCTACATGCTAGCAGAGTTCTGGTGAATATGGAAACAATGTGACCGACTCCTCCTGGATTAAAAGATAACAGATGGAAACATTTCACTTCTTCTTCTTCTTCCAAACTAGCAGAGAGTGAAGTGAACCAGGAAGTAGACTGAAACTATTTGTAACTCTGAGAAGCAGAGCTTTCTGTGTTGAACTCTTTGAACCAAGACACACCACCGATCCCTGTGTTGATGGACTCAGAGACTCTAGAACCAAAGCAGAGCTGAAGTCATGGAGTCAGTGAGGAAAGAGCTGAACCACATGTTCACAAAGAGCTGCATGCTCATTGGTTAGAAGAGAAGTCTTTATTACTTATTAGCAGAGATGGGCAGTATTTCTATTACTTGAATTTGAAATACGTATTTCAATTACTTTTGAGTATTTTGTAATTTGTGTTTGATAGGGCCGATAAAAATCTAACGTAATTTGTAACAAAATACTTTAGAGTGGAGTAATTTTGTATTTAAAATACTCAAAATACTTACTCCATGAATCAAAAAACAGTTCACGAGTTCAGTCTTCAGATCTTCCATGCAGTTCAATGGATTGTCTGTCAATGTAAATATTTTATCTGAGTGTGACAGATGTCAACCAGCTTGATGTATAATTTATGTCTGGGTCTGGCTACATAGCCTATTGTATAAACATGGTGATGGTTATAATATCAAGCTAGCGATCGATGCTAACATGCTAATGACAGTAGCATGCTGTCTAGGCTAGTGCATAGCCAGTGTTTAGCAAGTTAACTTATCAGTCGAGTAGCTAGCTATATAGGAAGAGGGAGATTGGGAGCTTGTATGTTCATGATAACCTTATCAAGAGACATCTGACCATCTTAATCTTGCACTGTATTACAAGTTATGCTGTATCTTCTCAACGTGAATGTCATAATGCCATATCAATTACTGGCAGATAATATAGTTCAGTTAGCCAGGCTGTGACAGTAGATGTTCATTTGTTAAAAAGAAAAAAAAAAGAAAAAAAAAAAAACATTAAATATCCAATTTATTTTATTTAAAAGGCATATTATGAAAGTATTCTTAGTTTTATTATTTCATACATTCTACAGTTGGCCAGGTGGACAACATGTCTGTGACTGTTCTTCCTTTGTGTGGGGTTCACCAGAGCTTTGTGTACATTATATAGCCCAACCTTGAATGCTCTGCTATACCAAATTGTGAGAAAACAGAAAATCCAGAAAAAAGTATTTCCTATATTTTAAATACAAAATACATGTATTGTATTTTGTTACATTTTCTGGCACCAGTATTTTGTATTTTATTTTGATACATTTATTTGAGGGCTATTTTATATCAAAATACATTTTGATGTATTTTTGCCCATCTCTGATGTATTTTTGCCCATCTCTGCTTATTAGCTCGTTATGTTACATGACTCACAACATGATGAGTTCTGCGTTTTTACAGGAAACATTTGATTTATTTTACCGTTCTCCTAATGCTCTAAATGTCGACTCCTCTCTTCTATTTGTTACTAATATTGAATTAATAAAAGATAATGGAAGTAAATTCATCTGTTTTTAATTAAGAATCATTATAAATATGCTGTGTTTTAAAAATAGCAGTTAATAATTACATCATAGCTCTCTGAATGGAATCGTGAGGTGGCTAGAGGACCGACACACCC